CTACGAAAATCAACCTACCATGTGGGAAATGTGAGATTATGATCCATATTCAGATCTTAGGTGAAGTGGCTCAATTCCCATGGGTTGACAAGGTAAAACCTAAAGCCAGGCTCTAAAACAGTGACCTACTATTCATGAGGAACTCTGCATGTTGGTAGGCAAATTAACACCATTCTGAAGATGGAGTGCAATTCTAGCATTCTAGTCCTGCTACTATCTGGCTGCATGACAGTAGGCAAATAACTAGATCTCACTACCCTTGGTTTACTCCTCTGGAAGGTGAGAATGACATTACCCACTCATAGGGCTGAGATCAAGGCTAATTAGACACCTGAAAAAGGTCTAGCATGTACCAAGCACAGACAGGCAGTCAGCACTGAAGAAACACCACCTCTCTTCAGAACTTGGCCTTTCCTTCAACTCAGGTTGAACAGAGACTCCACAAAACAGGTGACTGTCATCTTGTTCACTGGACAATCGGTTCCCTTAGGGCTCAGGATATTTCTGATTTATCTCAGGAACCCAGTACCTATCAGAGGGCTGGCCCAGGGTGAAAATCAATCAATCAATAAATAAATGCTTGCTCAATGGAGAAAATAAGAATTTCTGGGGTCAAAGGATGTTAACATTATCCTGGCCACAATCAAAGAAAATTCTGATTTTTAGTTTGGCCAAATAGGTCCTTGTTAAAAGCTACCATGCAGTTCAAAGCAACCTATTCTAAATTCTAATAATTATATTCTGTAAAATAAAAAAACCCAATTGCTCTACGGCTCTCAACTTTAGTTTTGAGAATCCAATTCTTTTCTAAACAATGGAGTGGGTAACCACAAAAACTTGTGGAATCTCTTTTCCTAGAAAACACAAAGAACAGGAGAGAAGTCAGTCTATCTGGAAATTGCTTTTAAATCTGCCTACGAGCAGGATGCTGGATAGGACTGGATGCCCCTTGGAGAATCCCTCCAGATCTACACCACTAAAATGTTAAGAAAAATAACTAAAATAATTTTGTCACTTATATCCAGGAAAATAAAATAAATTTAACATCTAACACAGTCACTGGAAAAAAATTTCTTGGACTTAGTGATGCTTTTACAAATACATTTTCTTTTTAAACTGTACTAAACACAATCCAAATCTTGAATAGGAGATCTTTTTAGTAAGAAAGAAGAGAGACCACACCTAGAAACATATTTTAATAAACAAGATAATTAATTATTTCCCTTTTTCAATCCACTTGTTTCGGTGTATCCCAAATATATTCATCCCTAAAAGTCTGGTAAGTAACTCTACTTGCTTCAAATATTCCACTCAGTTCTCCCAGTTATGAATTTTTATGGCAGCCATTGCCCACATCACATTATGCAAGTGATTCTTACATGGTGTCTTCAATTTTATCTGACTCTCAAGTAACAATTTTTGTCTCCCCAGATGAACTGTAAGTTCTTTGAGTAAGTTCCAAGTTTCCTATCACTCATGTACAAGACAGTGCAAAAGCTATCCTATAATACTCTGTGTGCTGGGCACCTGTGTGAAGTTTTGGCAAAACACTCACTCCACGAGGTAAAAAATAAAGCTTTTCAGAGGACTATACTTCAATATTCCTCACTGAGCTGGGACTAGTTTAGTGAGGATAGTCCAGGCTAAAGGGAAATACCTAGAATTAAAGACCACATTGGTCAGATCCTGACCTGTGAGGAAATGAGGAGCAATGAAGGCGAGATGCAGATGGAAGCTGCTTTAGAAAGTGCAGAACATTCTCCAGATTGCAGAGCTACGCAGGTTCTGATTTTACCTAGGATAAATTATCCATTCTGTCAGGTCCAGTCAGTTAAGTGGCAAGAAATGGAGGAAAGAGTTTTAGAAATTAAAATGTAGTAACATTTAAAACGTGCAAGTAAAACTCATAGTCCAAAGAACACATCTAGAACAAGACCAAAGGGCTCAAAAGATCAATCATTAGACGTGCATGCCACACACTTCCAAAGAGGGAGGCAAGACTTTTCTTTATATAGAAAATGGGAAGTTCTTGACCCTACTCCATGGCAAGTACTGTTCTAGGTACTAACAATATAGCACTTTACCAAACTTGCAATTTGAGCAACATTATATAAAGCCAGAGCTTAGTACTGTAAGGAAAGAGAACTCAGGGCTAATCTAAACCTCTTTTCCAGAGGAAAACTCAAGGCACAGAAGTTAACTAACGTGTCCCAGTTGATTATCATGTCTATAGGAAGAAAGGTAGAAATGAAAAACAGATTTCTTAAGCCTCCTCTATAACAAAATAGTCTTATTTATTAAGCAAGTGCTTTTTATGCTTCCTATATACCACACACTGTGAGCCAACAGGTACACAAAAAATGACAAGAGACTAACCCTGAAGCTGTCCTCAAAAAGCACTAACAGCAAGACAACAGGATGAGTACAATAATAGAAGCAGTAACAGAGAGAAATAGCAGACCATCTCTCTAATTGCTTAGGACTTTCAGTATTTTCAAAGAAAATAAACTTCTAAAAGTTTCTTTTATGCTCACAATAATCCCATGAGGGCACATCCTAGCTCTTCTTATTCCTGTTTGCAGATGGAGAAACCGAAGTGCAGAGAGGATAAGGGAGTCTATTAAGGTCATCGCCAGTGGCAACAAAATGCCTAAAACCAAGTTTGTTTACTCCAAGATAGACATTTTTTTTCACAATTAGATGTTAAAGGCAGATGTTCTTTTTATGTCCAATTCTTCTCTGGGCAAGAACACAAATTTGCAAGATTATGTGCAGGACAATCTGTAGTTGTGAAAGCAACCTTAAGGGCTTTTTTTTTGGTAGCGGAGATTGAACTCGGGACCTTGCGCTTGCAAGGCAGGCGGCAGCACCACTGAGCTAAATCCCCGCCAACCTTAACTGGTTTTGAAGTGTCATGAGGTTAGTTATTTAATGGTTAAGTAACCAATCTACAAGACACCATTACTAGCATTCTTAAAGTGTCCATTATACACATGAAGAATAGATGGAAAAGGTCCTGCCCTTGTAAGGAACAGTCATACAAACATTTCAACAAGAAGTGACATAATTAAACAAACTACAAAAGTAGAAGGATCATCATAAACAATTACAAATATAAGACACTAACAATTTTACAGAGTAACTGGGGGCAAGGGATGCCATGAAACAGACTCCTTAGGGATTAAATGGAGAATGAAGCCTGTGTAGATTCATAACAGTCTTCAGATAAAGGGTCTGACCAAAAATGTTCATCACATTTAAATAAATTATTAACTTTCTAATTCCTTCATTTCACTTTTCAACTTTACTCAAAACAATTATATAAATATTCCATTTCTCTCTTTCTAGGAAAGTTCTAATTTTATAATTTTTCCTATCCAAAAGGAATAGAATTTATAATGGAGGTTTCCATCAATGTGGCTTTGGTAAAGAAAAAAACCTAAAATTATGTGGTATCACTATGCTATTCTTCCATCCTCCTTCAGTCGCAATCTAAATTCAATAAATCTGTTAACTTTTCTTTTTCAAAATTTATAGGGCCGGGGATTTAGCTCAGTGATTTTGCCACCTGCAGTGCACGTACAAGGACCCAAGTTTGATCCCCGGTACCAAAAAAAAAATTAAAATTTATATACACATGCAAGAATCACTTCATAAAAACTAAAGGAAAAAGCACTCCTTCATTTTCAAGCTCAGTTTTAAACATCAACTTTATTTGCTTGATAACCTACTATGTTTTATATATACCACTATTCATTGTGGCCTTATAAGACATAACTATTTTAAACCTCAGCACATTATAGATTAACAAAGTAGACAAAGCTAAAAAGAAAAAACACTAGTAATTTAAATTACTACAGAAAAATTACTTAAGAATAGGCTGAAAGGTAAAAATTATGAGTATCTTTCCAAAAGAATAATGGTTTCTTTTAAAATACAATTCAATTTTTAAAAAATTTTTGTATTTTGTGAATATATTCAAAGGATTCAAACTTTTAGCTAGTTACCTCCCTTCTTAACATTTGGTTGATTTTTAAGGTGATAAATTGCAATTTAAATGACACTTCTGAACTTCTACAATAGGTTTCACTAGAATTACCACGTGCATATCACAAAATTGTTTCAAGATATTCTTTAATTTTTAAGACTTAGTTTCACTACAATTAAATATATTTTAACTCACAACAGCTTAAAACCTAAATGTGAAGCATGGTAAACTTTTCAGCTAGGAAAGGAACTGGGCCTGAATTTGTCTAGGTCCTCAGGAAGAGACTACTGGACCAAATCAGAGCCTAAATGAAGTGAAGGAAGAAATTAAACATGCAGTGACAGTGACATCTAGTGTTAACAACTGCAAGCCAGCTATACTACCATTAAATCCTCTCAAATGCTTAAGAACTATTCAAAGCTTCTCTTCTTGAAAAACTTGTGTAGTGTATCAAAAAATCATCCTTAATAGGATGGGTCCATAGGTTTCCTTCCAGACATTAAGAAAAAAATAGACAGTAAATTAAAGACCAAAAGTAAAAAGCATTGTTTATTTCATGTGATCAATATCTCAAACCATTCCCATTCATTCATTATAAAGGCAGTCTAGGACATATTCTGATGAGTTTCATAGTTATCTAAAACTTCCACTTGTACAATTAAAGATACTGCACAAGATAATACTTGATAGCACATCAAGAAAAATTTAGGACATTTCAGGAATACTTGAAGAAGATACAAAGAAAAAAGAAAGAAATTTCAGTGATTACACTGAGAAACAAGTCTACATTTCAGCTCTTACTATATTTTTGCTGCTCTGAAAGGTTCACTTATTAAACAGTTGATATTTTTGCTGAAGGGCTTAGAATTTGGCAGCATAGGTTAATTCGCCATAGTATTTTTTACAGTTTTATACTGTAGGTGAATCTATAAAAGTAAGCAGAATTTCGACAATTAGTTTTGGCCAGGATAATAGTGTGTAAAAAGTAAAGTTAACATTAGATGGAGCTTACCTATTTGTTTTGGAATGGTCATCCTTTCCCTGTTTAACTCCAAATATTCTTGTGATCAAGGAACTAAAGAGAAGTGTGGATGAATTTCGCACCTAATGTAAAAATAAACACAATAAAGGATTAAGAAATATTCATGGCATTAAACCAACATTTATAATGATCAAACTAGATACTAGATACTAGATTTGTATCATCAAATATAAATGTTTTTAAAGAGAAAAGACAAACTATTATTCCATACCCTTCCTGACAATGAATATTCCAGGAAAGACCTAAATGCTTTGCATTTTCTTTCTGTGATTATTTACCTACGAGAAAATACTTGTAGGACATAACTTCAAAGAAACCATGCAATTAATAAAATCAAGAGTGATAAATATTTGAAATGTTATTTATTAACCTCACAATGCCAGTCACCGACTCAAGAAATCTTAACCTTGAAATTATTTGAAATAATAAGAGGTAAGAATTTTAATTAATGACCTTCAATCATTTCTCCAAGATACTAACAGAACACATCTTTTCCAAACCAATGTACCAAGATGCTTTGCAATTACCCTGCCAAATCAGAACAGGTTGTGTAAGCACGTACTGCCTTTCCCAAAGTATGCAAGGCACTATTACCAGCACCACATCCAGAAATAGAAAACACAGCCACTACAGAGGTCATATTCTCATTAGGTAGATGTCATTATCATATAGTATGTTAAATAGCAAAGCCATTAAAAATAGTAAAGCGGGATTTGGAAAACAGCTTCCTAAAACCAATGCAGTAAAGATTCAAATGCCCAAAAGGACCAGCAAGCAACAGAGGCAACAGTGAACTGTGTCTAATGCAATCATTATTCAGGTTCAGCTGACTTGTTGCCACTACGGAATATAAACCCAGTGTTGCCCGATCTGGTTGTTCAAGAGAAGCCAGAAAGCCTGATTTTTATGTGAAATTTTGCTATTTTGAAACCTTGGCAACAAATTAAAAGAAGAAGGAAAACCCACCATAGAGGCCAAATAAAACACAGTGATGGGCAACATTTGTCCTATTGGCCATCAGTTTATAACCTCTCTTCTAGAAGCCCCAAATTACCTCAATTCATCCCTGGTAACCCTGGAAGTAGACTTTACAGATATACCAGATCAATTCATACAAAACTACAATGAAACCCTAAAATCAAAGATCTACTTGTGTCCATTCAACAGTCAGCAAACATTAATGGAATCCCTACTATGTGTCCTCCCTACTATCTCTAAACAACAAGTAATCTATCCTGTTACCTCATCAATATTGCCTCTTGCCCAGCTCAGGTCTCAATTACCTCTTTCACATTCTACTCAAATAGTTCTCGGACTCCTAGATCTAAGATGACTTGGCAAAGACCCTGTTTCCTCTCAGAAATCACAACAACAAAACACAAAACGAGGGGTTGAGGATATGGCTCAGTAGTAGAGCATTCAATTAGCATGCAAAGGTCCTGAGTTGGATCTCCCACATGGTGAAACAACAGAAAGAAAGGAGAAAGGGAGTGGGGGGGGGTGGCGTGAAAAGAGAGAAAAGAAGAGAACAAAATTATAAACAACATCTTCCCCTAAACCAATCTTTGTGACAAAGGTGGCAAAATTAAACCAGGAGTACCTGGAGATGCTGAGAAAAGCATACTTCAAACAAAACTGCAGGGATCTATTTTACAAAGTGAGTAGGCACTTTCAGAAATAAAAGTTTGAGCCAGTAGGCTGAAGGCAGGAGGCACATAATGTCTCTTAGTAATATTAAGATACACAACAAATCCCAGTACTATCAGATTGATTCATCTGGGGCCAAGGATTTAGCTCAGTGGTTCCACTGCCTCCCTTGCAAGCGCAAGGACCTGAGTTCGATACCCGGGACACAAAAAACCAGATTGATTTATCCTGCTATGGTCTGAATGTCTGTGTTTCTGACTCCCAAATTTAGATGTTGAAATCCTAACACCCAAGGTGATGGTAGTGGGAGGTGAGGAAAATTTAAGATTCAGTTAGATAATGCAAGCTCTACCCTCATAAATAGGATATTAGTTTCCATACAAAAGATGCCCCTTTGCCCCTTCTACCATGTGAGGATGAGTAAGAGTCACTCCACGAACCAAAATACAAACCCTCCGTAGACAATGAATCTTAATATTAGGATCTTAATATTAGATTTTCCAGGCTCCAGAACTGTGAGGAATAAATTTCTGTTCCTTGTAAGTCAGCATTTGTGGTATTTTTTTATAGGAACCAGAACAGACTCAGATACCCACTAATAGTTCCCTTAAGAGTAGCCAACGATGATCATTACCTATCTCTGTAGGTGTAGCAAAATGGTGATATTCTATCAGGCATTCTGCATTACTTACTTATATTCCCAGGAAAAAAAATCTTTTTAAAAAAGCCTTCCCTCATCAGCTATTTGATTACCCTATTAACTCAGTCAATACAGAATTATTTCCAAGTATTTACCAATTTTCAGTTCATTGCACAGAGTGTCATTTTAAAAATTACTTTTCATTTTATTGAGATAAAATTCACATAATGTAAAACTGAGCATTTTTATAAAGTATTTTAATCAGCTGTCTTTACTATATTCCCAAAGTGAGAAATTACCATCACTAAATACTTCAACAATGTTTTCATTACCCCAAAATGAAACCCTATATGCATTACTCATCATTCCCCACCCTCCCACAATAGAAAAGCACTAATCTACTTTTTATCTCTATAAATTTGTCTATTTCAGAGATCACCTATGCATGGGACCATGTAATAGGTGGTCTTTTATCCCAGGCTTCTTTCACTTAACACAAAGTCCTCAGCTTCACCCATGCTATAGCCAACAGGATGCTATTCCTTTTCATGGCTGGAGGATATCCCATTGTACAGCTATACCACATTTTAAAATCTACTCAGCATTTGATGGACAATGGGCTTGTCTCCACTTTTTGATTATCATGAATAATGATGCTGAGAAAATTTATGTACAAGCTTTTGTGTAGACTTTTTTTTTTGGTACTGGGGATCAAACTCAGGACCTTGAGTTTGTGAAGCAGGTGTGGCACCACTGAGCTAAATCCCTGACCCTGTGTAGACATGTTTTTATTTCTCTTGGGTTATGCCTAGAAGTGGCAGACACGATCATAAAGTAACTCTGTTTAACCTTTAGAGGAATGCCAAAGTGGTGGTATCATTTTATATTCTCACCAGTAACATATGAGGGCTCCAATTTCATCACTTCCCCAATTTCTCCACATCCTCCCTAATACTTATTACTGCCCATCATTTTTATTTCGTTAAGTATGAAATGGTACTTCATTATGGTGCTAATGTGCATTTCTCTAATGACTAATGATCTTAAGCATCCTTTAATGAGCCATTTGTATGTCTTCTTTGGAAAAATGTATTCAAATTCATTGCCCATTTTTAGTTGAATTATCTTTTTGTTATTGAATTATAAGAGTTCTTTATATATTCTGGATACTAGACTCTTACTAGATATATGATTTGGAAACATTTTCTCCCATTCTGGGAGTTGTCTTTCCATTTTTTGATGGTGTCCTTTGAAATAAGACATTTTTATTTTGAATAAGTCTAATTTACCTGATTTGTTTTTTTAACCTAATTTCTTTTGTTGTCTGTACTTTAGATATCATATTAAGAAACTAGTACCTATTTCAAGTTCCAAAATTTTCCACTTTAATTTTTCTTCCAAAAGTTTTATAATTTTTACATTCAGGTTTTTGATCCATTTTTAGTTATCTGAACATGGTATGAGATGAAGACTAATTTCATTCTTTTGCATGTGGATGTCTATAGTTGTCCTAGTAGTATATGTTGAAAAGATTATTTGTACTCTGTTGAAGTCATTCTTGTTTATTAAATGTGGAAGTTGGATAATCAATCCTATTCTACTGATTTATATATCTATTCTTAATTTAATACCACAATCTTATTATTGCTTTTTCATAATTTTCAAAATTAGGACCAGTGAATCCTCCAACTTTGTTCTTTTTCAAGATTGTTTTGTCTATTATGGTTCCCTTGCATTTTCTTACACATTTTATGACCAGCATGTCAATTTCTGCCCAAAAAAGCCAGAAGAGATTTTAACAGAGATTGTATCAAATTTACAGATCAATCTGGGGAATATTGCCATCTTAATAATTTAAGTCTTCCAGTAATGAACACAGGATATCTTTTGATTTGTTTTGGCCTTGAATTTCTTTGAATAACATTTAAAAATTTTCAGTGTGAAAGTTTTACACTTCTTTAAATTTATTCCTAAGTATATGTGTTAGGTACTGTTCTCTTGTTGTTGACACAAAATACCCCACACTCAAAGTTAAACGGGGAAAGGCTTATTTGGCTTAGTTTGTAGAGGTTTCAGTCCATAATCAGCTGGCTCCAAGGCAGGGTGGCAGAGGGGTAAACAGTTCATAGCAGCAGAAGCAGAAAAAGCAAGAAGAGAATTAAACAGCGAATTTCTGCCCCTTTTATCTTATTCAGACTACTGGTTTAGTGGTTTAGTAATCACACGCCCTTAATGCTAGCACACACTAGATTCACACACCTCTGAAAAAGACTGCATGGGGCTTTAGGAGGATATCCTGACACAAGCCATAACAGTGTATTATTTTTTTGATGCTATTATAAAAGGAATTCAGTTTCTAGATTATTCACTGTGACAGTACAACTGAATTGTTATTTTAATCTTATGCCCTACAATCTTGCTGAAATTAGCCCTAGTGTGTGTTTATGTGCCTCAGGATTTTCTACATATAAGATCATATCATCAAAAAATAAAGCTAGGTTTGTTTGCATTGCCCTTTTTAATCTGGATGACTGTTATTTCTTATTCTTGCCTCACTGCCCTAGTTAGAAGCTCCAGTGTAATGTTGAATAAAAGTGACAAGAATGGATATACCTATACTTTAAGTGATCTTAGGGGGAAAACTTTCAGTCTTTCAATATTATGTTGTTAGCTATGCTTTTCCATTGATATTGTTCACCAGATTAAGACATTTCCCTTCCACTCCTAGTTGAGTGGTTTTTATCATGTAATGGAATTACGTTATTGTTAAATATT